TGTGTGTGTGTGTGTGTGTGTGTGTGTGTGTGTGTGTGTGTGTGTGTGTGTGTGTGTGTGTGTGTGTGTGTTTGGGAGGGTAAGGTTATTTACAATTATGGTCATGTTTAAAATATGTTCAGTTCAACAGCACAGTCAAAAGAGTTGAAAATAAGAAACTGAATCTGCGTTTGTGATCCACTTATTTTATTTACCTTACAGCTATCTGGTGATTGGTTATGTGTTGTTAAGACCAGGGAGTGTGYTTGTGAAGTGCTGAAGTGTGTCGCTCAGAAGAACTGCAAATAAAGCCATCTGGAGTGATCCATCGGCCACAGAATGAAACCTCACTGTAGTGTTGTGTYACTGTTGTATGTTGCTGTGCAGGTGGTTGGATGCCTACGAGAATGCTGTGTCGTTCCACTTCAGTAACTACTTTGTGGGTCATCTGAGTGAAAGTACCAGTATGTTGGCTGGAGCAGGTTTCACAGAAGAAAAGGACCACATCCGATGGTAAAGAGGACATGGATCTGCTGCTGAGATAAACTGATCTGTCTGAAGGACCGTTCTCATCATCTTTCTGTTGGACTCATTGTTCAGGGACCAGAGTGTAGTGAAACCTCTGAGTGTTGAGATGCCCCGCTCCATGGTTCTGGTGGTCACTTCCTGGAATATACCCATGTCGGTTTGGCTCAAAACCTGTGAGTTTTTTTTAACACGTGATAACGCCCGTTAAACACATTATTTTAACATCTTTATCCCTGATGGATGGCAGTCTAGGAGTGTATGTTACTCTGTATTTGATAAAACTCTGTATTTACTTGGTGTCATTGAATGTGATGTATTTTGTGTTTRAATTTTCTTCCACAGATGTGTTTAAAAATGCTATGAAACTGGGAACATTTCCTGCTATTCTGATCACATACACAGCCAGCGCCATGCTGCATGTAAGTCCAACCTGCAACGATTCTGTCCAGAACACCCTTTTCACATTTTTTAACTTATTAATTGAACAGTCGTCCAATAACGACAATAACAGGTTTTTCTGTTGTTGTTGCTAAGAATAAGGCCAAAACATAAACATGAATGCCATGTGCTGCCTACAGTTGAAAACACAATAGTTACAAATGGGGTGGGCTGGAACAATAATCCAGGCAGTGAATTTGATACCATCTCAGGTCACCACCACCTGATTAACACAAACCAGACTCAGCATGTATTCATTGTGTGCTCAGTTTAACTGTCTGCACACGTCATAAACTGAACACCAAATGTTTCTGTTGTGATGCAATTAGGGCTGCAACTAACGATTATTTTAATAATCGATTAATCTGTCGATTATTTTTTCGATTGATCGGCCAAATCATTAAAATGCTTAATTACATGAATATGAATAGATAAAAATTAATTTCATTCCGGTATGAATTAAGGATGCAAGTTATTGA